GGGGGGGTCCCGGGTTTTGGGGGGGTCCCGGGTTTTGGGGTCAGATCCCAGATTTGGGAGCAGGTCCCAGATTTGGGGGGGGTGGGGCCCCGTTATTTTGGGGTCAGATCCCGGATTTAGGGGTCAGATCTCGTTATTTTGGGGTCACATCCCAGATTTTGGGGTCAGATCGCAGATTTTGGGGTCAGATCCTGGATTTTGGGGTCAGATCCTGGATTTTGGGGTCAGATCCTGGATTTTGGTGTTCCCAGTCCCTGAGGCCATCACGGTTTTAGGGTCACACCCCGTTATTTTGGGGTCAGACCCCGTTATTTTGGGTCACACCCCGTTATTTTGGGGTCCCACCCCGTGATTTTGGGGTCACACCCCGTGAATTTGGGGTCACACCCCGTTATTTTGGGGTCAAACCCCGTTATTTTGGGTCCGACCCCGTTATTTTGGGATCACACCCCGTTATTTTGGGGTCACACCCCGTTATTTTGGGGTCCCACCCCGTTATTTTGGGTCACACCCCGTTATTTTGGGGTCACACCCCGTTATTTTGGGGTCACAGCCCGTTATTTTGGGGTCCGACCCCGTTATTTTGGGGTCAGACCCCATTATTTAGGATTCAGACCCCGTTATTTAGGGTTCACACCCCGCTATTTTGGGGTCACACTCCGTTATTTTGGGGTCACACCCCGTTATTTTGGGTTCAGACCCCGTTATTTTGGGGTCACACCCCGTTATTTTGGGTTCAGACCCCGTTTTTTCCGTTCAGACCCCGTTATTTAGGGTTGACCCCGTTATTTTGGGGTCACACCCCGTTATTTAGGGTGCACACCCCGTTATTTTGGGTTCAAACCCCATTATTTAGGATTCAGACCCCGTTTTTTCCGCTCAGACCCCGTTATTTAGGGTTCACCCCCCGTTATTTTCCGTTCCCACCCCGTTTTTGCCGCTCCCTCCCAGCCCCGCTCCCTCTCCCCGCCGCCCCCTGAGGGCCCCTCGCTCTCCCTCAGGCGGCCCCCCCTCCCTGCGGCTCGGATCGCCCCCCGGGCCCGTACCTGGGTCCCGGCGCTGTCGCGGAGGCCCCGGACGAGCCCCGGGAGGGCCCCGCGGTGCGGGGGCAGCGCCGAGAGCGCCGAGAGCGCCTCGAGCAGCGGCGCGGCCGGAGGAGGCCGCGGCGCCGCCACCGCCGCCATGGCCGCCGCTTCTTCCCCGGCGCGCTCCGATGACGTCACAGCGCGGGAAAAACGGGGGCGGGGCCTGCGTGAGGGAGAGGGGGCGGGGCTTCGGGAGCAGAGCTAAAAAAGGAAATAAAGGGCGTAACCTGGAGAAAAAGGTCTATAAAAGGCAATGAGGGGAGTGGCCAGGAGAAAAAACTCTAGATAAGGTAATTAGGGGCGTGGCCTGGAGGAAATGGGTCTAAAAAGGTAATGAGGGGCGTGGTCTGTGGAAAATCAGGCCTAAAAAGGATAATGAGGGGCGTGGCTTGAATAAAACCGCTATAAGAGACAGTGAGGGGCGTGGTCTGAATAAATCAGGTCTATAAACGGCAATTTTGGGCGTGGCCTAGAGAGGGTCTCTCTAAAACGGAATAAAATGCCTCCTGAATCCCTCCCCCTGATCCAGTTGCCCTCCCTCATCCGGAGCTGAGTCTGAGGGGCATCGAGGACGCCGTGGGGGCTTTGCGGTGCAGAAACCCTGGTGAGGGAGCTGGGAGTGATTTTGAGGCGATTCCGGACGGTTTTGGAGCGGATTTTGGGCGATTTTGTGATGCATAACCACCTTGGAGGACCCAGAACCAGCGAGATGACGCAGAGCGGCCGCTGGAGGGGGCGGTGCCAACCACTGAGTTCCGCCCAGAGCGGCGCCAAGCGGGCGCTTCCTCTCACGTGATCGAAACCCCGCGCTGCCATTGGTGAAGAGAACCGGAAGAGGACGGAGAGGAGGCGGAAGCGGCGCGGGCGGCATGGCGGGGTTCGGCGTGGCCAACGAGCGGCTGCGGGCGCTGGAGGAGCTGGAGCGCGAAATCGGCGCCTCCTTGCAGAGCGCAGGTGGGCGTGGCCTCCGCAAAGGGGCGTGGTTTGCGCGGAGGGGGTGGGGCCATGCGGGAGGGGTTGGGGTGTCCCAGGTGGGATTTGGGGGGTTTTGGCTTCCCCAGCTGTACCTGAGCCTCTCAGGTGTGTCTCACCTGCGCAGGTGAGTTTTTACTGATGTTCCTTTGGGGATTTTGGGGTGTCCCAGGTGGGATTTGGGGGGTTTTGGCTTCCCCAGCTGTACCTGAGCCTCTCAGGTGTGTCTCACCTGCGCAGGTGAGTTTTTACTGATGTTCCTTTGGGGATTTTGGGGTGTCCCAGGTGGGATTTGGGGGGTTTTGGCTTCCCCAGCTGTACCTGAGCCTCTCAGGTGTGTCTCACCTGCGCAGGTGAGTTTTTACTGATGTTCCTTTGGGGATTTTGGGGTGTCCCAGGTGGGATTTGGGGGGTTTTGGCTTCCCCAGCTGTACCTGAGCCTCTCAGGTGTGTCTCACCTGCGCAGGTGAGTTTTTACTGATGTTCCTTTGGGGATTTTGGGGTGTCCCAGGTGGGATTTGGGGGGTTTTGGCTTCCCCAGCTGTACCTGAGCCTCTCAGGTGTGTCTCACCTGCGCAGGTGAGTTTTTACTGATGTTCCTTTGGGGATTTTGGGGTGTCCCAGGTGGGATTTGGGGGGTTTTGGCTTCCCCAGCTGTACCTGAGCCTCTCAGGTGTGTCTCACCTGCGCAGGTGAGTTTTTACTGATGTTCCTTTGGGGATTTTGGGGTGTCCCAGGTGGGATTTGGGGGGTTTTGGCTTCCCCAGCTGTACCTGAGCCTCTCAGGTGTGTCTCACCTGCGCAGGTGAGTTTTTACTGATGTTCCTTTGGGGATTTTGGGGTGTCCCAGGTGGGATTTGGGGGGTTTTGGCTTCCCCAGCTGTACCTGAGCCTCTCAGGTGTGTCTCACCTGCGCAGGTGAGTTTTTACTGATGTTCCTTTGGGGATTTTGGGGTGTCCCAGGTGGGATTTGGGGGGTTTTGGCTTCCCCAGCTGTACCTGAGCCTCTCAGGTGTGTCTCACCTGCGCAGGTGAGTTTTTACTGATGTTCCTTTGGGGATTTTGGGGTGTCCCAGGTGGGATTTGGGGGGTTTTGGCTTCCCCAGCTGTACCTGAGCCTCTCAGGTGTGTCTCACCTGCGCAGGTGAGTTTTTACTGATGTTCCTTTGGGGATTTTGGGGTGTCCCAGGTGGGATTTGGGGGGTTTTGGCTTCCCCAGCTGTACCTGAGCCTCTCAGGTGTGTCTCACCTGCGCAGGTGAGTTTTTACTGATGTTCCTTTGGGGATTTTGGGGTGTCCCAGGTGGGATTTGGGGGGTTTTGGCTTCCCCAGCTGTACCTGAGCCTCTCAGGTGTGTCTCACCTGCGCAGGTGAGTTTTTACTGATGTTCCTTTGGGGATTTTGGGGTGTCCCAGGTGGGATTTGGGGGGTTTTGGCTTCCCCAGCTGTACCTGAGCCTCTCAGGTGTGTCTCACCTGCGCAGGTGAGTTTTTACTGATGTTCCTTTGGGGATTTTGGGGTGTCCCAGGTGGGATTTGGGGGGTTTTGGCTTCCCCAGCTGTACCTGAGCCTCTCAGGTGTGTCTCACCTGCGCAGGTGAGTTTTTACTGATGTTCCTTTGGGGATTTTGGGGTGTCCCAGGTGGGATTTGGGGGGTTTTGGCTTCCCCAGCTGTACCTGAGCCTCTCAGGTGTGTCTCACCTGCGCAGGTGAGTTTTTACTGATGTTCCTTTGGGGATTTTGGGGTGTCCCAGGTGGGATTTGGGGGGTTTTGGCTTCCCCAGCTGTACCTGAGCCTCTCAGGTGTGTCTCACCTGCGCAGGTGAGTTTTTACTGATGTTCCTTTGGGGATTTTGGGGTGTCCCAGGTGGGATTTGGGGGGTTTTGGCTTCCCCAGCTGTACCTGAGCCTCTCAGGTGTGTCTCACCTGCGCAGGTGAGTTTTTACTGATGTTCCTTTGGGGATTTTGGGGTGTCCCAGGTGGGATTTGGGGGGTTTTGGCTTCCCCAGCTGTACCTGAGCCTCTCAGGTGTGTCTCACCTGCGCAGGTGAGTTTTTACTGATGTTCCTTTGGGGATTGGAGTTTTTAGGGGATCCCAGGTGGGATTTAGGGGGGATTTTGGGGTGTCCCAGGTGGAATTTGGGTTTCTTTGGACCCCCCCAGGTGTACCTGAGCCTCTCAGGTGTTTCTCACCTGCGCAGGTGAGTTTTGAGTTTTCACTGATGTTCCATTGGGGATTTCGGGGATTTTTGGGTGTTCCAGATGGGATTTGGGGGGGGATTTTGGGGTACCCCAGGTGGGATTTGGGTTTGTTTGGACCCCCCCAGGTGTATGCCAGCCTCTCAGGTGTTTCTCACCTGCCCAGGTGAGTTTTGTCATTCCAGGTGAGTTTTCACTGATGTTCCATTGGGGTTTAGGTGATCCCAGGTGGGATTTGGGGGGGATCTTGGGGTACCCCAGGTGGGATTTGGGTTTCTTTTACCCCTCAGGTGTACTTGAGCCTCTCAGGTGTGTCTCACCTGCACAGGTGAGTTTTGAGTTTTCACTGATGTTCCCTTGGGGATTTCGGGGATTTTGGGGTGTCCCAGGTAGGATTTGGGGGTTTTTTTACCCCCAGATGTATGTCAGCCTCTCAGGTGTGTCTCACCTGCCCAGGTGAGTTTTTACTGATGTTCTATGGGGGATTGGAGTTTTTAGGGGATCCCAGGTGGGATTTAGGGGGGATTTTGGGGTGTCCCAGGTGGGATTTGGGTTTGTTTGGACCCCCCCAGGTGTACCTGAGCCTCTCAGGTGTGTCTCACCTGCGCAGGTGGCCACGGGGCAGCCCCACGAGGGCTCGAGCTACGCGGCGCGCAAGAGCTGCCAGCTGGCGCTGAACCGCCTGGACTACGCCCGGCGGCGCCTGGCCGAGCTGGCCCGCGCCTGCGAGCTCATGCTGGAGCAGTGACACACCTGGGCACACCTGGGCACACCTGGGCACACCTGGGCACACCTGGGGAGATCGCCGGGACAGCGTGGGACAGAGCTGGAAACACCTTGGGACAGAAAAATGGGGGAAAATGGGATTTTATTGGGGTTTGGCAGCACTGAGAGACTTTGGGCACACCTGAACACACCTGGGCACACCTGGGCACACCTGGGGAGATCGCCGCAACAGCGTGGGACACACCTGGAACGGCCTCGGGACGGAAAAATGGGGGAAAATGGGATTTTATTGGGAATTTATTGTGGTGGGACAGCGCTGAGAGACTCTGGGCACACCTGGGCACACCTGGACACACCTGGGCACACCTGGGCACACCTGGGGAGATCGCCGCGACAGCGTGGGACGGAGCTGGAACGGCCTCGGGACGATAAAATGGGGGAAAATGGGATTTTATTGGGAATTTATTGTGGTTTGACCCCTTGGGGACAGCACTGAGAGACCCTGGGCACACCTGGGCACACCTGGGCACACCTGGGGAGATCGCCGCGACAGCGTGGGACACACCTGGGGACACCGAAATATGGAAGAATGGGATTTTATTGGGAATTTATTGGGAATTTATTGTGGTTTGACACGTTGGGGACAGCGCTGAGAGACCCTGGGCACACCTGAACACGACTGGCACACCTGACACACCTGGACACACCTGGGCACACCTGGCACACCTGGGGAGATCGCCGCGACAGCGTGGGACACACCTGGGGACACCGAAATATGGAAGAATGGGATTTTATTGGGAATTTATTGGGAATTTATTGTGGTTTGACCCCTTGGGGACAGCACTGAGAGACCCTGGGCACACCTGGGCACACCTGAGCACGCCTGGCACACCTGGGCACACCTGGGGAGATCGCCGGGACAGCGTGGGACACACCTGGAGTGGCCTCGGGATGAAAAAGGGGATTTTATTGGGAATTTATTGGGGTGGGACAGTGCTGAGAGACTCTGGGCACACCTGGGCACACCTGGCACACCTGGCACACCTGGGGAGATCACCGGGACAGCGTGGGACACACCTGGAATAGCCTCAGGATGGAAAAATGGCGGAAAATGGGATTTTCTTGGGATTTTATTGGGGTTTGACACCTTGGGGACAGCGCTGAGAGACCCTGGGCACACCTGGGCACACCTGGGCACACCTGGGGAGATCGCCGGGACAGCGTGGGACAGAGCTGGAACAGCCTCAGGATGGAAAAATGGCGGAAAATGGGATTTTCTTGGGATTTTATTGGGGTTTGACACCTTGGGGACAGCGCTGAGAGACCCTGGGCACACCTGGGCACACCTGGGCACACCTGGGGAGATCGCCGGGACAGC